TTACCAAGTTATATTTCCTTACCGGATGAATATGGTAATGACCAAAAATCTTACGTGGTAAGAGCAAAGACACGGACCGAAAGTCTTACCTGGTAAGTGATGACGACGGCTCTTACCACGGTAAACGCTTACCGTGTAAATTGTTACATGCGATGTCGTTTTGGTGGATTAAAATCTTACCCGGTAAGTAAATAGTAGTGTTAAGTTTTACCAGTAAGCACTTACCGGATAAATATTTGGTAAACGGCCCCTTAGTTTGATTCTTTGTCGGTACAGAAAGAAGGGTATACATTGGCTTTGAGACTGAAGGAGCCTTTTCAACTTAGCAAATTGACATGGGTGTTCATGAGAAACAATTAAATCAACTAAAATTAGTTTATATTACTAAAAAAATGTTGCTGTCAAACTGGTTGTTTTTTCTTTTGCTTTTCATCTATCATGTTTTTTTGTTGTACAAATCCTAAGAAGTAGGTGCCAACGGGCAGCAGGTAAGTATCCTGATCTACTGTGATGGTGACAATGGGCAGCATGTAAGTATCCTTATCCACCGTGATGATGACAATGGGCAGCAGGTAGTCAATGACAGTCTGGGTAGAAGGTTTGTTTAGCTGTATTGTCAGTTAAAAAATAGACCTTTGTTAATCGTTCTTCCTGGGCACTTTATAGGTAGATATTATTGTGAATAAAAAAGTATTCCCTATGTAATTGAATGTAAAGGGGTTATGTCCCTTTATTTAAGTGTAAGATTTAGAACCAAAGCACAATATATCTGGAACCAAATTAATGATTAAGGCTCTTGGTTCAATAGAATGGCATATGCTTGATGGGTCTCAATAGAAAGTGCTAAATAGAAACAGGAAACGAGTGCTTGCAATCTTATAATGCATTTGATTTTTGTTTCATGACATTTATTAGACGCTGTTATGTTTCAATTGCAGGTGTTTTAGGTGATACCAGACGACCAGATAAAACAAGTGTATCAACCCGGTTTGCAAGGTAAATATGTCATTTGAATGTTCATTTCACTTGGTAAGATTTTGAATCTTGGTTGGGGCTTGATGTTGGGTAGTTATTATTATCTGCAGCTGCTGTGGGTACGTTCTTACTTGTTGGGTAAGAGTCGTTACTCTCACTTATCGGGTAAGACTCTCGGTCCTTGTTATCGCTCTTACTGGGTAAGATTTTGAATCATTGTCATGTTAGTTCGATAAGGTAACGTGACCCAGTAAGCACTTACCGGGTAAACGTTTAGTAAACAGCCTCTTACTCTAGCTATTAGGTTAGGGACTTGCTAACCAAACCAAAAWWTTTACGTTAAATTTTTTCACCTTATGGGGTACATGATAACTTGAAATGTTGTTTCAGGGTGATGGCAAGCTCTATATCTTTCTTGAGCTCGTAATGGAAGGTTCGTTGGCAAAACTGTATGAGAGGTATGAACTGCAGGATTCCCAAGTTTCTATTTACACCAGGAAGATTTTGAGTGGTTTGAATTACCTGCATGATCGATTAGTAGTTCATAGGTAAATCTTCTTTCATTTTGGTGCTATCTATGGATGTATCCTGGCCAATTTTTCTAATTTGACTGTTATATTTTAATGTACTAGGGATATCAGATGTGCTAATATATTGGTAGATGTTAGTGGATCGGTGAAGCTTGCARATTTTGGATTGGCAAAGGTAAGCAAAGAACAAGGTTTTTGTTCTTCAATATCATCTTSTTTTCTCCATATGATTATTTTCTAATACAGTTGACTACATCTATCTTGTTAAGGAATGCTTATCAATATCCTTCTCCACTCGAGTTAGAAAGCTTTCAAGTACATATTACACTGCCTTCACTCTCGCTTCGCTTGTATCCACAAATATCTCCAAAGGATTTTGTCGGTGGTATAACAATTTCTCTATCTCATCTTCTGAAAATTTAATTTATATCCAAGTTATACAGTGATGAGAACGTTCAAAGATTGATCAACAGGTACTCAGCCAACTGGAATAYTGGATTATAGTCCATTTGATCCTACTGAAATTGCTTAAGTTCCATCTGTCTACCYGTATAACAATGTAATAAGTAGTTTTTATGTTGCTTTCAATGCGTTATATTGTAGAAATTAAAATTAATGATACCTTTTGTTTCTTATTTTTAGTCAGCTCGGAACTGGAAAACAATGAGTAGTGCCTTTGATGTCCTTTATGTGTTGAAGAGAGCGGGGTATATGAAATTCGAGTATATTGTGGTAACATTCCACTAAATGATGGTATTCCATGTATAATGGTAGTAAGTGCAAGTATTTTGATAGTCTGAATTTAGTTATTCAAGTGATACTTCCTCTTGTATTTATTTTAGTAGTACRTGGGTCAACYGTCAATGGAGCCAYTGATTTTGACATTTCAAGTACATGTCAGTCATGAAAGAAGGCGAGGGTGAATAACAAGCCAATATGAACCAAAAGAGGCATCTGATGGAAAGCAAATATAAACCAAAAGATGCATCAAAAGTAGAAACGGAAAAGGAACAGAATAACCACAATTTTAACCTTCAATTTTATATATTAGTTGACTTACAAAATAACCAAATAAACTCATGATTCAAGGATAAACTAATGTTTCAGAATTGGGGTTCACCTGCGCTGCATCGCGCGGGTACACCACTAGTATATATATATATAGAGGTTGGTTCAAATACTAACCCAATATTTTGTGCAAACTTTGCTAACCCACATCAACCAATAATGTTGCATCTTTGGGTTTGGTTAAAATGTAACTTACATATTAATGATAAGGGTATTTAAGTCATTAGTCATTCTTATGTAACTCTCAAATATTTTAATTGGGAGTTACAAATCCTACAATATCTCAAATTGATCTTCATCTAATAATGACATGAAGATTCAAATATGTTCATCTTATTGACAACTAATTCATATATAAAACCACCTACAACGAACATCATGCACGAACAGATATAAAGTACA